AGGCCATCGCTAGTGGGTCGGAGGCCATCGCTAGTAGGTTGGAGGCCTCTCCTAGTGTGGATCCGATGGTCCAATAGATGCAAACTCTAAGGTCACCGGCCACCACGTACCTTGGAGTTCAAGTCACGGGTCAAAAGGCACACACTGGCCCTTTTTCAACCAACCCCCTGCACGTTCAGTCCCGCAACGCTTGATAACATGCTGGCAGACGTATCTGCATGGGCTTGCGCAAGAAAAGGGGTGACCGACCTGCCATGATGCAGCCGCTGTGTGGGAATGCTGGTTGTGGGCTGAGTGAAAACAACTCTACCACTAAGAAGCCGGGTGCACGGTTCCCACTGATCTCACCTGCAACGAGTCTCGCATGCAAAAGCAGGTCTGGAGTCCACAGGAGTGCGATGTCCCATGGAAATCTTCTGTACGGTGTGCCATGAGGGCTTCCTTAAAAAGGCAAAATGCCAAGGTGGAGTCGGACCCCTTTTGAAGGAAGCCCGCTTTGGGATCTGTTTTTCTAGAAGTTGTGGACGTCGTCAGGTTCCGAGCCCCTCAAAAAGATGTCAACCTTTGGCGCTACACAGGGTCCAAGGATGGTCAAGGTTCGTATTTGCCTGGACCCTCTGGATCCTTCCAAATTACATAGACGGAGCTGAGTGCCGGCACAAGAAGTGCTCAAACTTCCACATGCAAAGAAGTCAAATCTCTGGCGATGACAAGTGATGAGACTGAACATCGGGCGTTCAGGTTGCAAGCAATTCAGTACCACGAAATCCCAAAAAAAGGTTGGGGCGAGGTCAAACGCAAAACAATGTGAACTCTGCTACACTCCAGCCGTGTCCCCCGACAGCTGTCTGTAGCTCTGCCTGAGAAAGGATGACATTTCTGAAAGGTATTCTGCGCCATTTGCATAAATTCATCCGAACCTTTGACACGGTGTCAACTGTTTGCAAGATTCTTTGCGCAGGATCCCCCCCTCTCAGGAGTACCCATAAGCTGGTCCTTCTCACAGCAATGCTAGCTTTTTCAGCAGTCACTGCACATGAAGGTGTTTCCTTCCACCCGCTCTTTTCCGGAAGTGTCCATTCAGGCTTGCGTATCGGTGTCTTGGATGGCTCCCCAATTGCTGAATTGACTTTGTGGCAACACGTTCAATTGATCCTCTTCGCAGGCGTGTGGCTGAGAACGAGGTGGCTGAAGGTACTCAACCAGTGCTTTGATCAAAAATTCGCGACTTCGTAACCACGCACTGGGCCGCAAACAACATTCATCTGAAGGCCCACCTGGTTGAATTTTCAGCAGAAACCCAGATCCTGGAGGTAGTGGGTTGGAAGACTTCCTACATCGGTTGGTTCATTCTGGGAAATGTTGGGCCTGTGAAAGCAGCGAAAACTTACAATGTCAATCGCTAGTAGGTTGGTATTAGGTTGGAGGCCATTGCTATGGGGTTGGAGGTCATTGCTATTAGGTTGGAGGCCATCGCTAGCAGGTTGGAGGCCATCGCTAGTGGGTTGGAGGCCATCGCTAGTAATTAGATGAAAAAAGCAACAAAATAGGCGAGCAGGATTGAAGTGAATTCAGAGGAACCAACCTTTTTGTTAGTCGTCTGTTGTAGGCATAGATAGCCCTTCCTGCTTCCCCTTTAACATGTCCCTCCATGATAGGTTGAGAGCCGGGGCATCCATTCTTTCGAAAAAAACCACCGTCAAGCCTTCGCAGGTCGAGGCACTGGATGTGGTGCAGGCGGGGCCTGAATTTCAGCGCTCAAACCGTGGTCCCATGCGATGATAAGTGCGTTGCATGTTCAACTCAATTGTGAGCCGGAACAGAGTGCTTGATAAAGTGATAAAGAAATGGCCTTTCTTCCAAGATGAGCTTCCCTAAGTGGAAGCCTGGGTAAAAAGTCTCTGAATCAGGTCGAAATCCGGAGGGAAAGGCAAAGAAAGACTTTGAAGACACGGAAAGCCCTCCAGTCGGCCCTGCCTCACTGTCGTCGCTATCATCAACGCCCTGCGCAAGTGGCAAAGAACCAAAAGCATTGGACGTCCGTTACCCCATGCACTGCGAGACGTTAGCTGACACTCAAAAAAGCGAGAAGTGACATGTTCAATTTGACCGCTGAGCAAGCGTTGCAAGGACTCCCCTTATCATTTGTTAAGAATCAATGGCCCAATTCCGCCAAGGGCTTGGGCAAGAGTGCTATGAGTCTAAGATCATCCAAGTGGTTCTTCATGGTTCTTCCCATTGATGATGTCTTTGTCGCTTGAGGGAACAATAATCATATTTGCGTTCATCCAAGTGCTATGTATTGAATCGTGTCCACTAGTCATGGAAGGGATTTGGCAGTGGATCAAAACAGAGGCATCCTGGTTGACCACCAGGGCTTGGAGCTCCAGGTTTTGACCCACTGCCATTTAGCAAAAATGTATGCTGAAAAAAACATTGTTTGTCTAATCGCACCCGTATGTCATTTTAAAGGACCATGACATCACAAGAATAAACGGA